ACCTACTACCTACTACCTACTACCTACTATCTACTACTACTACTACTTCTACTACTACTACTACTACTACTACTACTACTACTACTACTACTACTACTACTACTACTACTACTACTACTACTACTACTACTACTACTATTACTACTACTACTACTGCTACTACTACTACTACTACTACTACTACCTACCTACCTACCTACCTACCTGCCTGCCTGCCTGCCTACCTACCTACCTACCTACCTACCTACCTACCTGCCTGCCTGCCTGCCTGCCTACCTACCTACCTACCTACCTACCTACCTACCTACCTACCTACCACTACTACTACTACTACTACTACTACTACTACTACTACTACTACTACTACTACTACTACTACTCCTTCTCCTCTGAGGCTTTTGGTCGTTGTTGGTCGTTCTGCTCCTCCAGAGGGCTCCCGAAGATCCTCCGAGTCCATCTTCCCCTTCCCCCTCGCATCACCCCCTGCCGCTCCCACCTTCCCTCACCTTTCTCCTCCATCCCATCGAGGGACAACGATAGGGGGGGACTGGCATAGGGGAGGGCACATCGACGTGGAATCGGCATAGTGGGGGGACTGGCATAGGAAAGGACTGGCATAGGGCCCCCCCCCGCCTGTCCCTCCTCGCCAACATCCACGTCCCTCCCTTCTAAGACGAAGTCAGGACGAGAGCAACATCGGGTAAGGATACATCGAGAATCTCTGAGAGCCGGTGGGTCTGGAGGATGCCCCGGGCGCCGCGGCCTTCTCAGAGCGCTCCGGAAACGCTCTGAACGGATGTGTCCTCGTCCCAGCCCCGTCCGACCTCCCCCCTCGCCAACCTGCGCTCCGCAGCGGCCCGGAAACGCTCTGCACGAATGTGTCCTCGTCCCAGCCCCGACCGACCTCCCCCCTCGCCAACCTGCGCTGCGCAGCGGCCCACCCCGCCGCTGGAACTACTTCCGAGGCGGCCCGAGAGAGAGAGGTCCCTGCCTGGCCGCTCGGCACCGCCGCCAGGGCGGCCGCCGGGGCCGGGCGCGCCCGACCCCCAGAGAAGAGGCTGGGCTTCGCAGGGGGGAAGCGGGTCCCGAGGGAAGCGGGTCCTGACCCCTGGAGACCTGTCCCAGGACGAGCTCTCCCCTCAAGACCCGTGTTTATGCGCGAGAGGGCCCCCGAGGCAGCAGCGCGTCCCCGCGCGCGCCCGCGAGAGCTCTGGGCACCAAATTAGGGAGGAGGAGGAGGAGGAGGAGGAGGACCCTGGGGGAACACGAGAAAAAGCCGGTGCCACCGCTCCACGGACCTCTCCGGGGGTACACTCTGACTATAGGATGTCTAGGCGGATCCAGCCTCGGCGGCGAGGTAAGGCTGGCGGCGTCCTCCCCTGAACTGACTACCTACCAGACCACCCCAACCCAACCCGAAGACCCGAATTTCGGGTTGGGGGGGGTACGGGTTCCATACGTGTTTTCTCAATGTTCCCCGACCCCCCCCCCCACTGGAAATGGAGGGCAAATTGAGACCTTCGGGTTGGGTTGGGGTGGTTTGGTGGGTGGTGATGAACTCCGGAGTCCCCGCCAGGATCGCCAGCGACCCGGCAGACCCGCCCATTTTGGCTGGGCGTTCAGGGCCTGGCGCTGGCAGCGCGCCAGGCCCATCCCCCCGTGCCTCCAGCCTCGCGCGCGACATCTGCGGCGGCACGAGGGACGGGGGAGGGGGAGGGGGAGGGGGAGGAGGAGGAGGAGGAGGAGGGGGAGGGGGAGGGGGAGGGGGAGGAGGAGGAGGGGGAGGAGAAGGTGGCGGAAAGGAGGGAGGAGGAGGAGGAGGAGGAGGATGAGGAGGAGGAGGAGGAGGGAGGAGGAGGGGGAGGATGGATGAGGAAGGGGGCGGCGGACAAAAAAGCTTCTGCTCCTCTTCGGTGGCAGCCGCCAAGCGAAATCCCCCTCCATTTTTTGTCGGGCCCCCTGCGCTCCGACCGGGGGCCGACCCGACAGGCTGCTCGAATCGGCGCTGCCCGACGCCCAAATCGGCGCCTTCGCATCGATGTCCAAACTGAAGAGGCCCCACAAACCCACAAATACTACTAACATAGCCGCTTCCCATATTTTCTTCCAATGTTCCTAACAGCGTAGACTGATAGGTTTCTAGTTGACTCAAGAGAGCTCACAGATCACTCCACAGGGAGGTCCGGGCAGGCGTTGGGAGTTGCCGGCCGGGCCTGTGCCGGGCTCGTTTTTCATCAACAGTCACACACTTCGTGCTCGTCGACCTCTCAGAACCCCATTCCCGGGCCACATTCTGAATAACCGGATGCAACAGTCACACACTTCGTGCTCTTCGAGATCCCAGAACTCCATTCCCGGGAACATTTTGAATGCCCGGAGCCAACTGTAGGCCACTTCGTGGTGTTCGAGTTCCCAGAATTCCATTCCCGGAGCCAAACTTTGGATTCCCGTAAGCCAACTGTAGCCACTTCGTGTTCTTTTTCCGATTTCCCAGAACTCCATTCCCTGGGCCACATTTTGGATGCCCGGGAAGCAACTGGTAGGCCCACTTACGTGGTCTTCGAGTTCCAAACTCCATTCCTGGGGCATGATTTTGAAGCCGGACCAACTGTAGGCCACTTCGTGTTCTTCGGGTTCCAGAACCCCATTCCCGGGCCACATTTTTGAATTCTGAGGAGGCTGATGCTGGTCTGGAGGCAAGCTGAGGCTGAGGTAGGCTGAGGCTGAGGCTGAGGCAGGCTGATGCTGAGGCAGGCTGAGGCTGAGGCTGAGGCTGATGCAGGCGGAGGCTGAGGCAGGCTGAGGCTGAGGCCGAGGCTGAAGGCAGACTGAGGCTGAGGCTGAAGCAGGCTGAGGCTGAGGCTGAGGCAGGCTGAGGCTGAGGCTGAGGCAGGCTGATGCTGAGGCAGGCTGAGGCTGAGGCTGAGGCTGATGCAGGCTGAGGCTGAGGCAGGCTGAGGCTGAGGCCGAGGCTGAAGGCAGACTGATGCTGAGGCTGAAGCAGGCTGAGGCTGAGGCTGAGGCCGGCTGAGGCTGAGGCAGGCTGAGGCTGAGGCTGAGGCAGGCTGAGGCTGAGGCTGTGACTGCGACTGCCGTTGCCGCTGCGACTGTCATCGCGAATGCGACTACGACTGCGAGAACAGCAGAATTCTACAACTGGATGTTCATCTGAATCTTAAGGGGAATGCTTTCAGATATGCTTCTACATATCGATGTTAGGTTGCTTTGCCGGGATAATCATCTGAATCTTAAGAGGAATGTTTTCAGATATGCTTCTACATATCGATGTTAGGTTGCCTTGCCGGGATAATAGGTTTCTAATGGTGTAAAAAGAGAGCAGCACATTACTCCACAGGGGGGTCTGGGCAGCCGTTGGGGAGCCGTTGGGGGGCCGTTGGGGGGGCCGTTGAGGATTTCCGGGGGGGATCCGCGGAACCTCGTTTTTCGCATACAGTCACACACTTCGTGCTTTTCGACCTCCCAGAACTCCATTCCCGGGCCACATTCTGGATGCCCGGAGCCAACTGTAGGCCACTTCGTGCTCTTCGACTTCCCAGAACTCCATTCCCGGGCCATATTTTGGATGCCCGGAGCCAACTGTAGGCCACTTCGTGCTCTTCGATTTCCCAGAACTCCATTCCCGGGCCACATTTTGGATGCCCGGAGCCAACTGTAGGCCACTTCGTGTTCTTCGAGTTCCCAGAATTTCATTCCCGGGCCACATTTTGAATGCCCCGAGCCAACTGTAGGCCACTTCGTGATCTTCGAGTTCCCAGAATTCCATTCCTGGGCATGATTTTGAATGCCCGGAGCCAACTGTAGGCCACTTCGTGTTCTTCGAGTTCCCAGAATTCCATTCCCGGGCCACATTATGAATGCTGAGGCAGGCTGAGGCTGAGGCTGAGGCAGGCTGAGGCTGAGGCAGGCTGAGGCTGAGGCCGAGGCTGAAGGCAGACTGAGGCTGAGGCTGAAGCAGGCTGAGGCTGAGGCAGAGGCAGGCTGAGGCTGAGGCAGGCTGATGCTGAAGCAGGCTGAGGCTGAGGCTGAGGCTGATGCAGGCTGAGGCTGAGGCAGGCTGAGGCTGAGGCCGAGGCCGACGGCAGGCTGAGGCTGAGGCTGAAGCAGGCTGAGGCTGAGGCTGAGGCAGGCTGAGGCTGAGGCTGATGCAGGCTGATGCTGAGGCAGGCTGAGGCTGAGGCTGAGGCTGATGCAGGCTGAGGGTGAGGCAGGCTGAGGCTGAGGCCGAGGCTGAAGGCAGACTGAGGCTGAGGCTGAAGCAGGCTGAGGCTGAGGCTGAGGCAGGCTGAGGCTGAGGCAGGCTGAGGCTGAGGCTGAGGCAGGCTGAGGCTGAGGCTGAGGCAGGCTGATGCTGATGCAGGCTGAGGCTGAAGCAGGCTGAGGCAGGCTGAGGCTGAGGCAGGCTGAGGCTGAGGCCGAGGCTGAAGGCAGATTGAGGCTGAGGCTGAAGCAGGCTGAGGCTGAGGCAGAGGCAGGCTGAGGCTGAGGCTGAGGCAGGCTGATGCTGAGGCTGGCTGATGCTGAGGCTGGCTGAGGCTGAGGCTGAGGCTGATGCAGGCTGAGGCTGAGGCAGGCTGAGGCTGAGGCCGAGGCTGAAGGCAGACTGAGGCTGAGGCTGAAGCAGGCTGAGGCTGAGGCTGAGGCAGGCTGAGGCTGAGGCTGAGGCAGGCTGATGCTGAGGCAGGCTGAGGCTGAGGCTGAGGCTGATGCAGGCTGAGGCTGAGGCAGGCTGTGGCTGAGGCCGAGGCTGAAGGCAGACTGAGGCTGAGGCTGAAGCAGGCTGAGGCTGAGGCTGAGGCAGGCTGAGGCTGAGGCTGAGGCAGGCTGATGCTGAGGCAGGCTGAGGCTGAGGCTGAGGCTGATGCAGGCTGAGGCTGAGGCAGGCTGAGGCTAAGGCTGAGGCTGATGCAGGCTGAGGCTGCGGCAGGCTGAGGCTGAGGCGGAGGCTGAAGGCAGACTGAGGCTGAGGCTGAAGCAGGCTGAGGCTGAGGCTGAGGCAGGCTGAGGCTGAGGCCGAGGCAGGCTGAGGCTGAGGCAGGCTGAGGCCGAGGCCGAGGCTGCAGGCAGACTGAGGCTGAGGCTGAAGCAGGCTGAGGCTGAGGCTGAGGCAGGCTGAGGCTGAGGCTGATGCTGAGGCAGGCTGATGCTGAGGCAGGCTGAGGCTGAGGCTGAGGCTGATGCAGCCTGAGGCTGAGGCAGGCTGAGGCTGAGGCCGAGGCCGACGGCAGACTGAGGCTGAGGCTGAAGCAGGCTGAGGCTGAGGCAGAGGCAGGTTGAGGCTGAGGCTGAGGCAGGCTGATGCTGAGGCAGGCTGAGGCTGAGGCTGAGGCTGATGCAGGCTGAGGCTGAGGCAGGCTGAGGCTGAGCTGAGGCTGAAGGCAGACTGAGGCTGAGGCTGAAGCAGGCTGAGGCTGAGGCTGAGGCAGGCTGAGGCTGAGGCAGGCTGAGGCTGAGGCTGAGGCAGGCTGAGGCTGAGGCTGTGACTGCGACTGCCGTTGCCACTGCGACTGTCATCGCGAATGCGACTACGACTGCGAGAACAGCAGAATTCTACAACTGGATTCTCATCCGAATCTTAAGGGGAATGCTTCCAGATATGCTCCTACACATCGATGTTAGGTTGCTTTGCCGGGATAATTTTCTGGGGAGTCGACGATTAATTGTGTCTGTGTGTTTCTTTCCCTCCTGACAAACGCTAATGCACGCGAACGCACTGAAAAACGGAATTGCGAGGACACGGAAGGCTTTGGGTGCCTCTGGGGGGTCTCTTGGGGGCCTCTCGGGGGTCTCTTAGGGGGCCTCCTGGGGGCCTCTTGGGAGCCATCTTGGGGCCATCTCGGGGCCATCTTGGGACCTCTTGGGGCCTCCCGGGCGCTTGCTGGGGCCATCTTGGAGGAGATCGATCAAACAAGAGGGGGGCGTTAATTAGCGCCCCCCCAGGAGGCCAAAATGGGGGCCGAACTTCTCTCTCACCCTCCCCTTGCCTACAGCCGCCCGGGCCGCTGAGGCCTCGTAGGGCGCGACGACGAAGTGGATGGACAGCATGCTCAGCGCCTCGGCGGCAGCCCGAGGCCGAGGGCCACCTCTTGTCAGGGGGACGCCGAGGTGGGGTCCGGGGCAGAGGTGGGGTCAGAAGAGCACCGCCAAAACGGCCCGTGCAAGAGGGGCATGTGAGCATCCGGCTGGGCAACTTTGCTCCCGCACCCCACCTTGCGAGAATCCCACCTCCACGACTCTCGCAAAGCCTAAAGCGATACCGGTGCAGGCGCGTCAAACTTACTCTGCTACTTCGTCCTCGAGATTGGCGCCAGAACGCGACTGTGTTGTACCGATCGCTTCCGCCACTCCCTCCCACTCCCATTCCCCCTCTCCTCCCTGCCCACGTCGCTCCCCCTCCCTCTTTCGTGACGCCCCCCCTCCCTCCTCGTGGACCCCCCCCCGTCCCACCCCCTCTCCTCCCTGCCTACGTCGCTCCCCCTCCCTCCTCGTGACCTCCCGCCCGTCCCACTCCTTCCTTTTTCCATCCTCCCCATCCCTCCCCGGTCATTCCCGCGGGAGGAGGATGGGAGGGAGAAGCGGGGGGGGGAGGGGGAGGGGGACGCGGAGGATCAGGAGGAAGAGAAGCAGGAGGCGAACAAGGAATGGTGGGATGAGGTGGTGCAGGGACGACAAGAGGAAGGCGGGGCAGCAGAGGGAGGGAAAGGATAGTGGGGAGGCAGAGGCGGAGGATCGAGGAGGTTCTCTTGTGCGCCTCCTGGGCGCCGCGCTGGCCTCTCAGACCTGCATTCAGAAAACAGGCCCAACGGGGCCCCACCTGCTGTCGGGCCCCCATCGACTGCACTCGCGGCAGGTACTAAGCAGTAGCAGTAAAGGAAAAGCTTGAATGTCCGAACTCCTCGCGGATTCCTTGGGTCGACCCTCCTCACCTCCCTGGTGGCAGCCCCAGCGCCGCTCCCCGCAGGCCCAGCGCGCTGGGGGGAGGGGTGTGTGGGGGGGGTATGGCACCAACCGAAAAAATCTGCGCGGACCTCGGATCGCTCATGAATACAGTGTACGATGGTCTTCCAAGCATGGCGCACATGACCGAGGCTGCAGGTCAAACGGTAGAATGACATCAACTTCGCCTCGCGATGACGTCGACGGTGATTCCTGGCACCGCGTGGACCGTTCAGCTTTGAACCACCTCGGCCTTCCGACAGCGCAAATCGCTCGACACCGGCCGACTCTGGGCCACTACCGCCGCCCACCTCGCTTCGGACGAAAGGGGGGATGGTAAAGTCGCGGGTTGCTGAACGTGCCCATGGCCCACAGTGCCTCCAGCTTTTCGCTCAATCCCACCAGTCCTCTGGGCGTAGGTGGTCTGAGAGTTTCCTCTTCCAACCCCCTTTCTCCCCCTTCGGGGAAGGTTTATCACTGTTCCCTATTGATATACACCCCCTCCCCCAGGCGACAACCCGAGTCAATGAAGGCACCCCCACACCATCCCTTGTAAAAAACAATTCAAGACGCACTCTGCCTCCAAATCCGGAGCATGCGCAGCGAACCCGATGCGGCCTCCCCCCACCGTCCCTGTCAAAAAACAATACAGAATACACTTGGCGGCGGCGGCGGCGGCTGCGGCGGCTGCGGCGGGGGCAGCGGCGGCGGCTGCTGCGGCGGTGGCGGCGGCGGTGGCGGCGGCGGCGGTGGCGGCGGCGGCTGCGGCGGCTGCGGCGGCGGCGGCGGCGGACAGCGGCGGCGGCGGCGGCGGTGGCGGCGGCGGCGGCGGGCGGCGGCGGCGGCGGGCGGCGGCGGCGCATTCGCCACCAGTAGCTGCCCATCCAAAGACGACTGCTGAATATGCTGCGGCTCGGGCCAGGCTCCGGTGCTGCGTATGTGGTGCGAGGGCGGGTGGGAGTGAGCGAGACGGCTTGCGGGGGGGGAGGGTCTTGACCCCTCCCCCCCACCCCCTCCCCTGGACCTGGGCGGGGGCGGTAGCGAGCTGTCAGAGCGTCCAAGATGGCCCAAGACGGCTCCAAGAGGGTCTCTGAGCCCAACATGACCTCCAAGATGGCTCAAGATAGCCCGAGATGCCTCAAGATGGCTTCCAAGATGATCCAAGAGGACCCAAGAAGGTTCCAAGACGGCTCCAAGAGGCCTCCGAGGCATCCAAGGAGGCCTCCGAGAGGCCAAAATCCTTCCAAAATCTAATGAAACCAGTGATGGTTGTCGTCTCGCCTTTTCGCTTCCGATGGCCATCCAAGAGGGGCCCAAGAGAGCCTCAAGACGGCTACAAGAGCGCCCAAGAGCGCTCCAAGAGCCCCATGAGTGCCCCAAGAGGCGACTTTTGGCGCTCCCGAGAGGCAGCAGCGCTAATCACAGTGCGAGCGCGGCCGCAAGAAACCCTCGCAAGAAACCCAACCCTGAAAAACCCGCGCGCGAAGTGCACCAGAGGGGAAACCTGGAGCACTCTGAACGTAGCAGCTCCTTCAACGGCCGCGGGAAGTCGCCGCACAGCGCGCGGGGCGAAGAAACCCAGCATACCCTGACGAAAAGCATATGGCGTCTTGATGCGCGCCCCCACTGTAGGGCCCCCCCCCTTCTTTGTTCGATGTCCTCCAAGATGGCCCCAAGAACGTGTCCAAGGCTCCCAAGAGCACCCCAAGAGGGCCCCAAGAGGCGCCCAAACGGCTCCGAGAGGCGCCCGAGAGGCCTCCAAGAGACTCCCAAGAGGCCCCCAAGAGGCTTCCAGAGGATCCCCGAGGCACCCAAGATGCCCCCCAGACGCTCCAAGAGGCCACCCAAAAAAAACAATCAAGAGACATCCGAGGAGGCTCTTCTGATCGTCATGCGCTCCTCCTCCTCCTCCTCCTCCTCCTCCTCCTCCTCCTCCTCCTCCTCCTCCTCCTCCTCCTCCTCTTCCTCCCTTGCCTCCTCCTTATCCGCCTCCTCCTCCTTCCTCCCTCCTCTCTCTCCTCCGCCTCCTCCTCCGCCTCCGCCTCCGCCTCCGCCTCCTCCTCCTCCTCCTCCTGTTCACTTCCAAGGGAAAACAGAGGAGACTCCGAGAGTCAAGAGGCACGTGGCTCGTTTGTTCGCCCTCCTCCTCCTCCTCCTCCTGCTCCTCCTCCTCCCTCCTCCTCCTCTCCTCCTCCTCCTCCTCCTCCTCATCATCATCATCATCATCATCATCATCATCATCATCATCATCATCATCATCATCATCATCATCATCATCATCATCATCATCATCATCATCATCATCATCATCATCATCATCATCATCATCATCATCATCATCATCATCATCATCATCATCATCATCATCATCATCATCATCATCATCAGCATCATCATCATCATCATATCATCATCATCATCATCATCATCATCATCATCATCAGCATCATCATCATCATCATCACCACCACCACCATAATCATCAGCATCATCATCATCAGCATCATCATCATCAGCATCATCATTATCGTCACCATCATCATCATCAGCATCAGCATCAGCATCAGCATCAGCATCATCATCATCGTCAGCATCATCATCATCAGCATCATCAGCAGCAGCATCATCATCATCATCAGCAGCATCATCATCATCATCAGCATCATCATCAGCAGCATCATCACCAGCATCAGCATCAGCATTATCAGCATCATCATCATCTGCATCATCATCACCATCATCATCATCGTCAGCATCAGCATCAGCATCCTCATCAGCATCATCCTCATCAGCATCAGCAGCAGCATCATCATCATCATCATCAGCATCATCATCCGCATCATCATCATCATCAGCATCATCAGCATCATCACCATCATCATCATCATCATCATCATCATCCTCATGCTCATCCTCATCCTCATCAACATCATCAGCATCCTCTACCTCCTCCCACCCAATTTCCTCCTCCTCCTCATCATCATCATATTCATCTTCCTTCTCCCAACTCCATCATCCATCCATCCGGCCTCTTCCTGTTCCTCCTCCCTCCTTAGCACGGTTCGGCTGTCCCCCTCGTTGCTCCCGCACTTCCCTGATCACCTCAACTCGCCTAGACATCGTTTCTGGATGAGCTGGTGGGGATGCGCGAAGCGTCTAGAATTTTGGAGCCCCAGGGCCCTCTGAGCCTCGTGAGGGTTGCTCTGGAGGCCGTGGAGGCCTGCTTGGAAATCCTGGGGGGCACCATGGGCCAGGAGCACGTTTAGTCCCACCAGCCCTTTGGGCGTGAGTGGTTTAGAGAGCTCTCTCTGTCCTCAACCCCCCTTCTTCCCCTTCGGGGAGGGGTTTACCCCTCCCCCTACCCCCTCCCCCTGGACCTGGACAGGGACTCCCGGGTGGTGTCAGGGGGGTCTTTTTCGACTCCTGGGAGGGCCAAAAAACGACGACCCTCACGAGGATTCTGGCCCCGACGGGGGGACGCAGTTTGGCCCCTCTGCTCGTCTTTGAAACCAAAAACATTGATTTTACTAGGGTTTTGGCCCCATGTTGGCCTCCTGAGGGGGCCGCGCTCATCTTCCTTCATAGCAAAATCATTGATTTTACGAAGGTGTTGGGCTCATTTTGTCCTTCTCAGGGGGCAGCCCTCATTTGCGCTTCTGAGGGGGTCGCAAGAGGCCCCAAGATGGCCCCAAGAGGCCCCCAGGAGGCTCCTAAGAGGCCTCCAAGAGGCCCCCAAGAGGCCCCACGAGGAGCCCGAACGACTCACACCAGGACGAGGGGCCCGAACGACTCACACCACGAAGAGCCCGAACGACTCACACCACAAGGAGGGGCCCGAACGACTCACACCAGGACGAGGCGCCCGAACGACTCACACCACGAGGAGCCCGAACGACTCACACCACGACGCGGGCCCCGAACGACTCACACCACGAGGAGCCCGAACGAGTCACACCAGGAGGAGGGGCCCGAACGACTCACACCAGGATGAGGGGCCCGAACAACTCACACCACGAGAAGCCCGAACGACTCACACCAGGACGAAGAGCCCGAACGACTCACACCACGAAGAGCCCGAACGACTCACACCAGGAAGAAGGGCCCGAACGACTCACACC